TTAATTACTTACTTACTTCATTTATTACTTACTTACTTTATTACTTACTTATTTCCTTTATTAATCCATGGGGGGAAATTTGAGAAATTGCTTATCTTCAGTTTAATGTTTTGAGAGGAACTTGTGTTCGTATATTTACTTTTAAGTCTGGATTTGTGAACATTCTCTGTATTTTATATTTCTACTAAAACTTCAGTCTGTGGAAAAATGACTTCATCAGGGTAGACTTTTTTTTGCATCTTTGTTCAATAAATCCCTGTGATCCCATGTAATGTAGACATTTCAGCTGAACCTGGGTTAAATTTTAATTCAACTTGTGCAAATGTTTGTGTCAAATTGCTGCTTTGCCGTGTGAAATCCTATAAAGAAACGCTGCAAGCTTTTGTCCGTTTTCTAATGAAGGGCGGTTGGATTTTAGTGAACAAGTTGCTTTACATGTTTTTAATTGTCTATTCAGTACAACTATACGTTTATCTACAGGAGTTGAAGAGTGGATGTAAAAACGTGGTCGCATCAGTTTCAATTTAAAGTCAGGTGTCATCCGTGACACTGGTTACAACCGTCTGGGCCTGGTCTGAGTCATCCAGTTTAATGTTCACTGTAATGAGATGAGCGCGTAGGACCCAGCAGCATGCTGTAATGTGAGGGTGGAAAAAACAGGCAGAGGGAGGGAGGGGGGCATAGGGTGGGAGGGAAAGTGGAAGGGTGAAAGCATCAGGTTTCAGTGTACATTCCACCCAGACGCCATGTCGCCTAAACACAGGAACACCAGCCTCCCTGCCCGACTGAATTCACCAGACACGAGCAGGTCTGCGCGGTGCTGATGCACGGCGTCCAATCACTCCACCATATATTTAATAACTGTTTACAGGCAATTTGCATACCATAATATTCTGCAGCTTTAATGCAGGGATTGATTCTTCTCTTTTAGCTTTGTCTTCTGTTTGTTTTGACAGCTGCAGGTTGGAATAAAAGACTCAGACTTTTATTTTGTTGTTTTAAGATGAACCATGAGTAGATTAACTCTTTTTAAAACTATATATTTTCAGTCTTAGCGACACTTTTAAGTAATATTTAAGCCAAAAATACCCACAAACTGAGCTGTATTTAGAAGAGAAGAGAGGTGTTTGTTTATTATTACCGCGGTTGGGCGTGCGTGCATGTGTGTGTGTTAGGTTTAGAACAAATTGTTTTTGGCCCCGGGGGGGCTGTCTCCTGTCTGTCAGAAACAATATCCAGGAGCAGAGTTATTGTACAGTCTTCAGGTGTGGACATGGAGGAAAAGGGTGGATGCGGGCAATAAAAGAAAATTCTGTAGCCGTATAAGATCACGTTTATGAGTCACAGGGAGGACAAAGTGAGTGAGCACAGTAACACCTGTAGTCTGGTACCTTGAGGAAATGTTGGTATGCATGTGGTAGGAGCAGATTCCTGTCTTTGTCCTGTATCATCCTCTTGCTCTCACTGATTCTGTGTTCTTGTGTCCTTCAAGGTACGGCAAAATTGTGTCCACCAAAGCCATCTTGGACAAAACCACCAACAAATGTAAAGGTGAAGCTTTTTTTTGTTGTTTTATGTATTCTTTTTTTTTTTACTCACTGTAGTCATTAAATAGCATTTATGTCTTGATTTCACCTCTTTCCAGCCATAAAGCCAAGCAAACCCGACTTCTACGTGATATTTAAAGGGATAGTTTGGGATTTTTAAAGTGGTTTCCCATAGACGCATCATGTTTAGACATTAGCATCAAAAGCAACGGTGGGCGCTGTAGCTTACCCAGTTTTAAATGCTCAACAGGAAAACAACAATTAAATAAAAGCTCTACAGTTTGTTTTAAATGAGTCAAAGTTGTGCCGATTGGCTGAACATTTCTCTGAGCTGTGTTTCATTCTTAATGCAAGACTTCTTCTGTAAAATAAGCTGATGTTTGGCGTTTTAAACGGTGCAGCTGCTGGAAGCGCCTTCAATTTACTCGGCCAATTAACGCACACTCACTGTACGTATGGACCAATCACAGCTCTTTAGTTCCTGTTGAGCTAAGAAAGCACTTAGTCTGAGGAAATCCAGAGCTTCAGACTTAAGAAAATATGGTTAAACTAAAAATAACTGGTCGTTAATGCATATAACTAGAAATGTCTCACAAAGAAGTGACAAACTGCAACATTTTATGAAAAATAATTAGCATGAAATATTTGAGGTTTGAGTCATTTTAGATGAATAAACTCCGCTCGGGAACGGACTTTGATTTCAGCAGCATTAGCTTGACTCCTACATGAGATTTTCTCTCTTACCCTCCAAACTGAGGTTGCTCAGACTGCTGTCTGCTGCAGGTAAGGTACTGACTGCTCATAACCTCTCCACTGGAAACCCACTTCCATCATTTTCCAACTATCCCTTTACTAGACTTGAAAAGCAGTTGTATTGATTTTCTTGTGTTGCTGAACTACAGCCTCTTTAACGCGGCTCTTTTTACTTTTCAGGGTATGGCTTTGTGGACTTTGACAGTCCAGCAGCTGCACAGAAAGCTGTCACAGCGCTGAAATCCAGTGGGGTCCAGGCTCAGATGGCTAAAGTAAGAATTGTTCAAATCTGGGCAGCTGTTAGTCTTTATTTTTAAAATCTAAGTGAAATTTATGGGTAAACAGGTAATTTAATCTCATCATGTTTTCCTGTTATTGATCTCCTGAGGGGTCTCAGCTTACAGACTTACAGTCCTTATGTGCTCATCCCATCTGTACATGCAGCTCTTACCCTGTTGGCAAATCAAGAAAACCTTTTTTACTATGACATAAATCAGACTGGACTTGTTTTGAGGTGTCCATCAGTTTTCTGTGTGAATATTCCATCTTTATTTTTTGGTCCTTTATTGCCTTTTCTCTCTTTTCCCCTCACGCCCTGTTTGTTGCTAACCTGTTCGGGTTGTAGAGCTTTCTCTAGGCTCTTTGTCAAAGTGTCTGCAGTCAAAGCAACTCTTGTCGGTCCATTAGGCTGATCCCTCCGGCTCTCATGCTCCCAATTGAAGAAAACCTGGGGAGGGTGCCACTACACCCTCTGTCAATGGGACAGGCACAAAGAACTGGCATTGTTCATCGCCTGGGCCTCGGCCTGGGGCTGATACGGCCATTTAATACACTCCACCCCGGTGTCCCTGCCTCCTCCCCTCCCTGTCCCAAACCCAAACATACCCACTGCAATGTAACACCAGGGTGTCCCTGAGCTCGGCTCCGGAAAACTGTAAAAGATCCACGCAGCCAGCTGACAAGAAACGGTTCACTGCAACTAAAGCCAGGGTCTAGGTTTGCTACTGATCCTCTGTAAGAGCACCACATAATCCTGAATATCTCAACGCTGGACAAGTGCAACCGGACACCAAAACCTGACTCACTCAGACAGCCTGTATTCACTTCGACATGTCTGTACCCGCTGCAGTCAAAAGTATCGCTTAAGGTTAGGAGACACAGCAACCACAAGTCTGAAGTCAAATTATTTATGAAGCGCAGTTCAAGCTGAGCACACGTTCACCATGGATGCAGCTCACAAACACGACGCGCCACACCTCGCTCTCAACGTCCTCAAGGTACGCTCAGTCCCTGAACGTAAGGCCCATAGGAGCCGCCTGTGTCTGGGCGAGGAGAACAATGGCAAAGTTAAAAATAGGTGGCTTTTTTACCTCCCGGCACCTCCCAGTTCAAACTCCCACGTCACTTAACTGTGCACGACACAGCCCGGCAAATCTGTCAACTCGGAGACACACCTTTACAGACGCATTTGTCACAGAACCAAAAGCAAACAAAGCAAATACACGGTCACTTCAGCAAATAGTGTTCACAAGCGTGGGCTGGATAAAGAGCGTTTTAATAACAGCGATGTGAACATGAGCCGTAAAACAGAAGTGAGTCCTTTTCTTTCCCCGTTTATCAATCTGCTGTAGCTTGAGCCGAGCCCTGACCCCTTTCAGCGCGTTACATAACAAACGTGTCATCCACAGAAAACAGGTTAGCTCCTCTTCAGGTGCTTCTTTGCTTCGAACAGCGGCAATAAATCTTCATTTAAAAAAAAGGCCGCTGACAGACTTTAATGCCACGAATGCTTTTTAGGAGTTCTTTTCGCGTCACCTCAACACCCGTGTCAAACTTCTTCGCCTGCGTGTTCTCTCCTGTTTGTTGCTCGGGCTGTTCGGGTTCGAATGATCGTAGCTGCAACTCGAGCTTTTCCAATCTTGACAGTTTTGTCTGTGAATGAAACCGTCGTGGGTTTACAGGAGTCTCATGTTGCGGTAAACACTAAGGGGGAGAGACAAAACAGTGACTGGTAGGAAGAAATGAGGTTTTGATGAAAAGAAGGAGCCTGCTAATCTGTAGTCTTTTCATGTTACTGCTCTCGTCTGTCATTCTCCTTTTTAATTACCTAAATTACTCCAGATGACCCATCCTGTTAGCCGCCTCCCTCTGTACAAAATATCAGCCTTTTGAGCTACTAATTCATTCAATCCACCCCCTTTCTCTCTCTGCTCTGTCCTCTTCCCTCTCTCTCGCTCTTCCCTTCCTCTTTTTTTAGTCCAGCCTCCTTCTTCATGGTTGCCAGGCTCCTGTTGCTCTGTGAACTCTTAAACTTCATGCCTGGCTTCCTGCTTCCGTCACACAAGGTTTCACTTTCAGCTTATTGCTGCAAGATATGCCTCAAAAATAATCACCACTCCTAAACTTAAGACAGAATTCATCCCAGAAGTGTGACTTTATCCTCGCACACGTTGACGTTTGCAGAAGCAAGTGTTTCTCATGTGCCGTTATGACTCACGAGGAAGGGTGATGAGTTATTCAGCACTTTCCATTTAATAATGATGGAAAAGTTGCCTAAAACAATGTCGTTCTTCCAGATTGGATCTTGTTACAAGAAGGTGCTTTGCATGATGCACGGCTAGGATGAAATATTAATATTCTACGGGGGGGAGGGGGGCTGGTTTGATGGAGAGGGAGGTCACATTGATGCTGTCTGGACATAAATTTCTGCTGTTTGAAAAAAAAAAATGTAATATGTGACGTGAATTTTTGGTTTGCAGACGCAAATGTGTTAGCAAAGACAGTCGACAGCATGCAGAAATACATGTTGCATTGAAACTGGAGCACTTTCATTCATGTCTACCCTCAGTAAAACAGTTTTTAAATTAAAGATCCATCATCCATTCAAGGAATGCATACTACCATATTTTTCAGCCTATAAGTCGCAGTTTTTTGCATAATTTTCACGCCCTGTGACTTACACGCTGAAGCAACATATTTATGGATTTTTACCCGTATTTATAAACCAATTTTTGGCTGTGATATGACCGTTTTCATTCATTCCGATTGAAAATATTGAACACTACCATTTTCAGCCGTTAGATGGCACTCGAGTTGTATGGCATGCCGTTGTGTCATGTAATAAGTAAACGTGGCTATTGGTGACACAATCGGTGTGTCGTAGTCTGCAAACTTGGTATTTGCTGCATTTCGCTGCACCGCCCCGGCGAAATGCAGCTGATTTGACCATCGAAGTGCATTTATTAAGTAAAAGTTCAACTGAGACAAACCTTTGCTATAAAGTCGAGCAAGCAAATAATTGTTTTTAGCTTATCTTGTTAAATTTCGAGGAAATGCACAGCAACTTGCCCTCCGCATTCCCGTTTCCACGTATCGACTTTTGAAAATGCAGCTAATTTGACTGTCAAAGTGCATTTATTAAGTAAAAGTTCAACTGAGACACCTTTGGTTTAATTTCGAGCAAACAAATAATTGTTTTTACGTGTTAAGCTTGTTAAATTCTTGTTAAAGTCCTCCCATGCACGCTCCCACGGCCACTATTTGGCAGCCAATCGATTTTTGGCACAACACTGGCCCACATTTCCGGGTTGTCAGCGGTGATGCGTAATAGATGCTACTTATACGGCGAAGCGACATATTTATGCATTTTTCCACTTTATTAGACATATTTCGACTAATGCGACTTATAGGGCGGTGCGACGTGTATGGCAGAAATTTCGGGACTCGATGACTTTGTGCCAGCGTTTTAGACTAAGATCATTCTAGTATGTTGGGCAATGATGATGTTAAAGTTATTTTGAGAAAACTTTTGAATTTGTGTTATATCGTGCTTGATCCCTTAACCCTGGCCCCTTGAAGTATGGGCTGTGAGTGGCTGCCAGCTACTTTCACACCAAATTTTAGCTCAGTATCTGGAAAACTCTCATGTATTGTCATTTTGTGTTGGCTAAATTTATTTAGTTGTGACAGCCGTCTTAAATTGGATTGACGTCAAACATTAAAGAGTTGTAGATTTGCATCCACCAATTCTATTCTACGAGTTTCATAGAGATCCTGACAGTGGTTCTTGAGATATTTATTTATTTGTATTTATTTCTAACAATATTATTATTTTGATAACAGACAAACGTGGCTGACACCAACCAGTTATTGTCAATGTTTTAGGTCAAAAAATTATTGCACAATATGTAATGCTCAAAGTGTGTGTTGGCATTAATGCTTAGCTACAAGCTCACCCAATATTAGCCTCATGTTTGATGGCGTTAAAGTCGTTTTGTTTTTTTCTAACCTCAGTTGACTGTGGCAGCCATCTTGAATTAGGTTGACTCCAAAAGTTAATCAGTTGTAGATGTACATTCAGTGATTACTCTCTGAGAGTTTTGTTCCAAACTGTTCACTGGTGCATGACATATTTTGCTAACACGACAGAAAAACGATCACAGACAGGCAAAAACATGCAGCGTTTGCCTCAGCAGACATTTATCAACTGTGCAACCCAAGTTCTGTAAAAATAAAAATAAAAACAAGCAAAAGAAAAAAACAGAGTATCTGATTGTGTGCGTGGACTCTTTTTTTTCTGTCTCTTTCTCTGCGCAGCAACAAGAGCAGGACCCCACCAACCTCTACATCTCCAACCTGCCCGTGTCGATGGATGAGCAGGAGCTGGAGAACATGCTCAAGTCCTTCGGCCAGGTCATTTCTACGCGCATCCTCCGAGACGCCAACGGGACCAGCCGGGGCGTTGGGTTTGCTAGGTTAGAAGCACCGCCATGATCTAACCGTTTTATTTTAACAAGACACTTTAGGGATTAAATTGAACTTTATATTTCAGAATGGAGTCCACGGAGAAGTGCGAGGCCATAATTCAGCATTTCAACGGCAAATTCATCAAGATTCCCCCAGGGGTGCTTGGTATGGGAGCATTTTGCTGTTTAGTTTTTGTACTGTAGATGTACAATGATGTGTTTTGATCCCTGCTGTGATCACTGAATTCACCTCACTTGTTTGATCTGATGCTTTCCCAGCGCCCGCAGAGCCCTTACTGTGCAAGTTTGCAGACGGGGGTCAGAAGAAGAGGCAGAGCCAGGGAAAGTATCTCCAAAATGGAAGGCCCTGGGCTCGAGACGGAGACACGGTAACGTGGCCATATGTAAATCATCCCTCTTACAGTTCACGCAGCTTCTCTCACTTAGATGTTTTTAGGAAAATGTAATTAAAAAGTTGTCCGAAAGTTTTCAGTTGCTCTCGCTCTTTGTGCTAGCTAGCTGTTTTGGTACATTCTGCATCGCATCAGTGTTTGCATGACCTCACTTGTTCTGAATCCTGTGTGCTGTTTTCCCAGGGAGGAATGACGCTTGCATATGACCCAACAGCTTTACAAAATGGGTGAGTGAGTGGTATGTACAGACTGACAGAAAACAGCCCCAGCCCTTCAGGAAAATAAACACCGCAAATCAAATCTGGTGAAAGGCTGCCCTCTGCTGGACAGCAGCAGAAACACAGGAATAATTCTAACTGACCTAGAGGTCTGCAACCTGTTTGATGAAAAAAATAATAATTCTGCCCCATCATCACTAAATAAAACAGCTGTAATTATCAACTGATGGCTCATGGGCCACTTCAAGTTTGTTGGAAGGGGGTTTTCAGTGAGGTTGACATTATAAAACAAAAAAATATATACCGGTATAATTAATTTTAACATTTATTTGTATTTTTACATTTTAGGATAAAAGAAAAGACTATTTAAAGAAGGGAAAACCTGTTTACACTAATTTAAACAAATTAAAACGCTGAATTCTGCAGGCCATCCATCCATCCATCCATTATCTTTACCCGTTTGTTCCATTTTGGGTCACGGGGGTCGCTGGTGCCCATGTCCAGCAATCACTGTGCGAGGGGCGGGGTACACCCTGGACGGGTCGCAAGTCCATCGCAGGGCCACATAGAGACAAACGAGACAAACAACCATTCACTCTCTCACTCACACCTAGGGACAATTTAGAGTTACCAATCAGCCTAACATGCATGTTTTTGGACTGTGGGAGGAAACCGGAGTACCCGGAGAAAACCCATGCATGCACGGAGAGAACATGCAAACTCCACCCAGAAAGGCCCCTGGACCGGGGTTTGAACCAGGGACCTGCTCGCTGAGAGGCAGCAGCTCTACCAGTTGCGCCACCGTGCTGCCCGAATTCTGCAGGCCTATGTGAGTTATTTTATTTGTGGTTATACAGTAGTCCCTTGTTTGTTACGGGTGTTATGTTCCAGCAATATGTTCCGCAATAAGTGAAAATCCATGAAGTAGCGACATTATATTTATTTTAGTATTTATATATATTTTAGTGCTTTAGAAACCCTTCACACACTTATATGTAGCTACTAAATTTTACTTACCAGCGCATCCCTGCTCGGAGGTCCTCGTAGGCTGGTTGAAAGAGATGAGGAAGGTCCTTGTGGGCTCCGGATGGAGCGCCGGACCTTCGGTGTCGCGCATCCCACTCAGAAGTCCTCGTAGGCTGGCTACCAGCTCTCAAGATTCACCGATGGGTCTGGAGGTCTGGTTCTGTTCCGGTTCTGGTCCGGTTCGGTGGGTTCTGTGTGGCTCTCTGCATCTGCTGGACGTCAAAGTCACTGTAATCAGCACCAAACTTTTTCCGATCAGATCAAAACTTTCCCTCTAGTATTTCAGCAGAAGGAATCGGGGCTCCTGGACGGTGCCCTGTTGGCTTTTGGAAAATGTAGTCGTTATGAGTGAGAATACAGTGGAGGCTTACTGAGCGAAAACTACAAAACGCCAGCGCCTGTCTGAAGTATTTTATTTTTTCGTTAACTTTTTACTGTACAGTATCCCATACTGTCCCAATCATGTGAGTAATATTAAAGTTGACAATCATATGTCCTGTACAATTATTATTTTTTAAAATATGTTAATGTACGGTGACAAACCGCGATATAGCGAGTCTGCGAAAGTCGAACCGCAAAGTAATGAGGGACTACTGTATGTGTTAAGTATCCCACTTTAAAGTAATTAAACATAAATTTAAAGTGTGTTAAAACATAGTCCATTTTGTTGGATATGTAATTTTGACTTTCATTATGCTTTATTTTTCCAATTCTTATTGTTATCAGACCGACTCACCATGTTCCCTCTGAGCAACTTGTCCAAAGATTTGCTGGTGGATTTGAGAGAAAGATCCCACTGTAAGGCCGGAAGATGAATAAATGGAGTATCTAAATGAAACCATGTATTAATAATCTCATTCACGTATTTGCAGAGAATTGACAAACTATAACTTGCCTTTTCTGTTGTGGGTAGAGAAACCAATGAAATTAAATTTCATGTTAGTTTTGGTCAAAGCTTCAAAGAGCAGTGGGACGTAAGAGCCGCATATGGCCCCAGAGCCGCAGCTTGCAGACCCCTGACCCCTGACATGTTGGCATCACGGCGCTCCTGTCCTTCATGTTTTCTTTCTCCGTGTGTTCGGCAGCTTCTACTCGTCGCCTTACAGTCTGACTCCAAACCGAATGATCGCTCAGACGTCCCTCTCGCCCTACATGCATTCTCCTGTCTCATCGTACCAGGTGGGACATTTCACCATGTTCACACTTTAATCTGTTTTTAACCAATCTCCCCCCTCTCCCTCCCCCACTTATACTTGAACAGTTGATTTTCTGTGTTGAACACCTCATTATAAAGAAAATTTTCAAAGTTAATCAGTCGTCTCTGTAAATTTTGTAAATATTTTTTGGAGGTTTCAGTAAAGTCCATGAAGAGGCTCATGACATATTTTACTAACAGACGCACAAAGAAAGAGTTTAAATGGTTGTATTGTGTTTTGTTGATGTGCAGGTACACAGCCCGTCCTGGATGCACCATCAGTCATACCTCATGCAGCCAGCTGTGAGTATCCTCCCACAGCAAAAAACACCTTCTGCTCTCCTTTTTTTAAACCAACAAGTTTATGACGTGTACCCTGAATCTAAAAGATAAGTGTAAATATAGAAGCACAGAAATCTAAGTTTGACACGGCATCTTTGGCCCAAGAGTTATTTTTGTCTCCTTCAGAAGCTTATGCTTTTATTCCTTTGGTCACACTCCATTTGATGTGAGGAGACATTCAGCTTTTATAACTTTGTGAGTAAAAGTACAAAAGAACTGAAAAAGCAAAGCTGAGATATAGATCTGCTGATCAACAATCAATGAGTGTCAATCCGTGTTGATGACATGCTAAAGGCATTTATCCACGCAGGTCATCTGTGATTCCTAAAGACTTCTGTTATTGTTCGTCTCAGCAAAATGTACCAAATAAGTAGTTCTCATATTTTCAAGATGATTTAGAGAAAGGCCTAATTTCATTTGAGTGAACCAACTTGAAGAACATAAAGGAGATTATGCTTCTTTTTTAACTAAATTCAGCCTTTATGAGGCCGGTGCAAATTCAACAGGATTAGATTATAAAAACATTTTCATATACATTAGTGTGTTTTTTAAGAAAATAGCATCTGAGAGGGTGCCGAGGGAGGAGGGTGAAGTGTTGTATGAGGAACTCTGGAGTGGCAGAGAAGTTTGTTAGACTGGTACAGGACATGTATGAGGACAGCAGGACAGTGGTGAGATGTTTTGTAGGAGTGACAAATAGCTTCAAGGTGGAGGTGGGAGTGCATCAAGGATCAGCTCTGAGCCCCTTCTTGTTTGCTCTGGTGATGGACCGACTAACAGATGAGGTCAGGCAGGAATCCCCGTAGACTATGATGTTTGCGGATGATGTGATCTATGGTGAGAACAGGAAACAGATGGAAGAGAACTTGGGGAGGTGGAGGTATGCACTTGAAAGAAGAGGAATGAAAGTCAGCTGTAGTAAGACAGAGTACATGTGTGTGAATGAGAGGGAGGAGGTGGAACAGTGAGGCTACAAGGAGCAGAGGTCACAAAGGTGCAGGACTTCAAGTACTTGAAGTCCACTGTCCTGGAAAATGGGGAGTGTGGTAAAGAAGTGAAAAAGAGAGTCCAGGCAGGATGGAGTGGATGGAGAAAAGTTTCAGGAGTAATTTGTGACAAAAGTGTGTCAGCAAAGGTCAGAAGAAAAGTTTACAAGACAGTGATGAGAACAGCTATGTTGTATGATCTGGAGACAGAGACATTGACAAAAAGACAGAAGAAAGAACTGGAAGTGGCAGAAATGAAGATGTTGAGGTTCTTCTTAGGAGTGACAAGGATGAATAAGATTAGGAATGAGATCATCAGAGGTACAGCACATGTTGAACAACTGGGAGATAAAGTTAGAGACCAGACTGAGATGGTTTGGACATGTCCAGAGGAGAGACAGTGGGTATACTGGTAGAAGGATGTTAGAAATGCAGCTGCCTGGAATAAGACAAAGAGGAGATATATGGATGCAGTTAGAGAGGACATGGAGGGAGTGAGGACAGAGTGAGACAGAGGAGGATGACTCTCTGTGGAGACCCCTCAAGAGAGAAAAGCCAGAAGGTTTTTAAAGCTCTTTGCTCTGCAGCTGATTTTAGGGCCCAAGCAGAGACACTTGTGTCCCCCCTCCTCTCTCCTTTTCAGTCCAGTGTGAGTTTTTGGGCACACAAACGAGCGTGACCCTTAAAGAGAGCCGTGGGTTTTCATCCTGACAGTTTTGTGTAACACACAGTAAACTGAGCTCAGAGCAGCTCTCGGCAACTTAGCAAAGCCTTTTTATTTTCAAACACTTCAGTTGTCTCGTCTGCACTCCTGCCGTGGTGCTGATCCAAACTTTGAGTTCTTAACCAGCCCAGGTTGTTAAAACACAGAACTGCAATTATTACTGTATAGGTCGCATCAGTCAAAAAATGCCTCATGAAGAAGGAAAAAACAAAACAATAAATAGGTCACATTAATTTAGAAGTGTATTTCACAAAGTGCAAGAACAGACATTTAATCTGAAATAACAATAACGCACAGAACAGACCCGGGATCCTGAACAGACTTAATCAACCTGACGAGCCAACGAGTCCGACAAGCAAGTTACTGGTAAATTCACCAGTCTCCTTTGACTTGTGTTAAGTTTTTCTCAGTTGTCTCGAAGTGAATGTTTTGGGGAGGGTAGCGGTAGAGGAACAACATATAGTTGACAAAAGCCTAGAGGGCCCTGTCGCGACTGCAAATAGTGATGTTTACTCTTTGGTTCATGTCAGTATGAATGAACATTTAACTCGTCAGTGAAAAATCTCGTCATGAATCGGGAAAATAATGTAAATAAGTCTCTTTGGACTATAAATCGCAGGACTGGCCAAACTATGAAAAAAGTGTGACTTATAGTCTGGAAAATACAGTAATTGTTTATGTTAACTTTAACTTATGGTGAACTGAGATAATAGAGAATTATATTATTAATCCACTGGCAAAGAAAAATAAATACATAAAAAAAAATAGACCAAATCTTCTTGCAAGATCATGAAACATGACTAAAGTCTTAATATAGAGCTTTTTAAAATAATTGATTTAGTTTAAAATCAAATCAAACTTTTATTTGCAAAGCAACCCATGGCGCTTTCCAACAAAAATAAAATTACAATTTGAAACATGCATAAAACTAAACCTACTTATAAACAACAATCCTAAATAATAATAATAATAATAATAATAAAAAAAAAAATAATAATTTAGATTTATAAACCGTTTTCCGTTTACAGCAGCTTTTAACACCACTGAACGTTTGAGTCAGGGTTTTTTTTTTTGTGTCTTTGAGTGACCAGAATGATTAACACGGTTTGTTCGGCTCGTCGAGCTGATTGTGTGTGTGTGTGTGTGTGTGTGTGCGTGTGTGTTTGTTGCACAGGGTACAGTTCTAACCCCAACAATGGATCACACCATGTCCATCCAGCCCACGTCCATGATGGGACCTCTCACACAGCAATTAAGCCACCTATCTCTGGGCAGCACGGGCACAGTCAGTACCAACACACACAAGAAAAAAGTTATTCATGTCCAGTACAACCCACAAAATGGTTTTATTTTTTACTTTGTCTTCCTCACAGTATATTCCAGCCAACGCTACTATGCAGGGGACCTACATCCCCCAGTACACCCCAGTGCCTCCCTCCAATGTCCCGGTAGAGGTATTAATAATCTTTCTCTCTCCCTAAAAAGAGAATACATAAGAATAATTTAGTTTTAGAGGTGTAACAATTGGTTTTCTTCATTTATTATGAAACCAAAGTTGCTTTGGTTGTTAAATAAAAATAAGAAAATGTTTAAAGGTTTAGCTTTATCTTACTAACAGGACATTTCAAAGGATATATTAGCTGCAAAGTAAATTTCCAAGTGTTGAGGTTTTAAATATTGTTTTTTTTTTTCTTCCTTTGTTGAAATTAATCATCTGGAAAAGGGTTAGGGCCACTGTAGGAAACAAATCTTTTCAGAAATCCGACTTTTTCCTCAGAAATCTGAAGAAAAATAAATAGATTTGCACATTTCTAATTTCCTTAATCCTCTTCTGGATAATACTGAAAGTTATTTTCACACAACTAACTGAGCCACAGGGGTGCGTTGTTCAGGTTGGGATTGGATGGACAAGCGTAAAACAGAAAAGAGAACTGAACTAACTAACTAACAGGAAGTCTTACTGTATTTAATAAAGCATGTGTCTCTTTTTAATACAGGAAAATGGTCAGCAGCAACAGGATGCCATGGAGAATCCTGCAGAACACACAAACTACTCGTACCAACACACCAAGTGAAGCTACGGTATGGAGCATGTTCACACCACAGTCCCACAAATTGCACAAAGTGGATATTATTTATGTCTAAAGGGAATAAAACTCATTAGGAGTGGTGAGGATGTTCAGGTAACAGGCTCGTAGAACAGACTGTATGTCATCAGTACGATAATCTTACCTGTACACACACAGAGACTGGTTCAGTTCTGTGACTACAACAGACAAATCAAGTCTGGCAAGGGGGGGGGGGGGGTCTAATAAGGAAATGAATGAATCGGTTCATGCCTGAAGATCTAGAAAAGTAATGTTCTGAATTGTGTGAACTCGTGTGAATGTTTAAGAAGCGTTCACATTGTTGTGATCCATTTTTCTTCCGTACGTTTTTCTGCATCTTTCTCGTTCCAAAATTTTTCTGCTGTTTCAACAAATCATATCGAAACGTTCAGCTCGTTCAGGAGAATGGGTGCTAAGACTTTTGGTATTGGTGCAACTTTAGCTTTTTGAAATATTTAGCCTTTTCTTCCATTTTTCCCTCATAGAAAATGAATTGAGCTCATTTTACATCCTTCAACTCTTTAGATCTGTTTACAACCTTTTACTGCTCCTTTCACATTTTGTTCTGGTTCAGCTTCTTTGTGCAAATGTAAACTTTTTTCTGCTTATTTCAGTTAATTTCAGCTGGGGTTTTTTTTTCCACATACTTTTACTACTCACAAATATATTATATTGGCTCATTTTCCTCAATAAATAAATGACCAAGTATAATATTTTTGTCTCATTTGTTTAACTTTATCTACTTGGAGGACTTGTGTGAAAATCTGATGTTTTAGGTCATATTTATGCAGAAATATAGAAAATTATAACGGCTTCACAAACTTTCAAGTACCACTGTAAATACTTACAACTCGTTATTAATACTATGACAATTATACTCATGATGGATGTATGTAAACCTTTGACCACAGCTGTACGCGGTGTTAAATCTTAGTTGTGTGTGTTTCAGCTCCCACCCATTTGGAGCCAAGGACACAAAATGATTTCAACCAAAAGAGGATAAAGCTGGAAGAGATCCAACACATAACCAACCACCTGGACTCAAACATGGATCAGAAAAGGAATGTGTGCGTGTGTGACTGTGTTCACGCCTGACTTTTAGTTTTTTTTTTGTTATTTTCATGTTTTAAGGACAACCATTAAACTTCATCAAACTCTCACACAACCTGAAGAGTTGATCAACCAAAGGTGGGAATCTCCGTCAAAGTTTCGATCTATTTTGATAACTTAAAAAAGAAAAACAAGAAAAAAAAAAAAAAAGGAACAAGACAAAACTTATAAATAAAACTAAAATGTCCACACACAAAAAAAGAAATAGGAGGAGAAAGCATTATTTTGTGTGTGTGTGTGTGTGTGTGTGCACGGGATAACTGCAAATATTAGTTTTTAACTAAACATTCTGGACGTTTCAGATTCAAGGAAGAGTTCAAACACAATGTGTCTTTTTAGGAAGTTTTTTGTGTGTGTGTGTAAAATATGCAAACTTTATTTTGTATTTCCTGATTGTTTGACATTGTTATTTGCAGCAGCGACAATTTGTACAGATTTCAAACCTTCTGAACTCTTTTGCTGATATGTGGAGTCGTCCTAACTGTGGGAGGTAAACCGTTTAAAGCTACTTCTTCTTGGAACTGCTGCAGAGATTTACATCCGTGCACAGACGATAAAAAAAACATGTTTTATAGTTTAAAGTTCTTTTTTTTTTTTTTTTAGATCATTTTTTCATACTAAAAACAAAAGACAATCAATTATTTATATTTATATTTGAATTATAGTTCTATTTTTTTGGAGTTTTTTTAATCATTTATATAAAAAAAGAGGTTATTTAATACTGTCGTCTATGAAGACGAGCTGAAATCTTAACCCCACTCAGTGACGAGCTGTAAGATTTGGCTCTTTAGGGTTTTATTTTTGTTGTTTGGAGGCTTCAATCTTGTATTTATCATCTTCAAAAACAAAACCACCAAAATGACTTTTAAAAGTCGTTCTGTTTTTTTTATTCTTGTCGTCCTCGTCGATGAGAAGTGGTTTTAAGCGGTTTTGCTGTGGCAACCCATCAGGTATCATTTTCTCCATCCTCTCTCAAAGGGATGAATTGAACACGCATTAGAAAGGAGCAGTTAGTTACATGTGCAAAAAATAAAGATGCATTCGCTAATGAGGGGACGTAAGTATGGAGCTAAATTGGAGCCATTAAAGTTTGTTCAAAAGAAAAATAAATTTGAAACTGAAAAAAAAAAAAAATTAAACTGAAAAATATTTTTGAAACTGAAAAAAAAAAAGTTCAAAGCTACTTTTCAGATTCAAGTTGATCATTTTCAGTTTTGAACTTTTGGCCCTGTTTTGTGTGGGGGCGGGGCCTCAGATGACAGGGGTGTGGAATCATGACTGACAGCTCAATGCAGCAGCTGTTGCATTCAGGAACCATGGGAACAGAAATTGTCTGGAAAAACCTCATCGATATTCGATATTGATGTGATTGGTTTTGAAAGATAACATGCTTCACCGATATAATGATGATGATGATGTCATCACAATGTCAGCACTGTCTGTTTCCATACAATGGCGAAATTAGTCTCTGCATTTAACCCATCCACCACCAGGTGGTGCAGTGGGCAGCTATTGAAAGCGCCCGGGGGGCATTTTGGGCATGAAGTGTGCTGCCCAGAGACACCACGTGATGTGCAGTGACTGGGGATCGAACCTGGGACTTTCGGGTCCCAAGCCGGCTGCCCTGCCTCTACACCATCTTGGCCCCCATATAAGCAGCCTATGTCAGTATACTGTATGATGCCAATCTTGGGGAAAAAATATGATCTTGACAGATTTGTACAACATTTTCAGTAAATGTTGGAGATTTCCTATGCTCTCAAAGTAAAGAAGAAGAACCGCACATCCTGTGCCACCGCCATATTGGATGGGTTTCTCCTCTCTTTACGACTCTGGGGCTACTTGCTCTGTCTGGCAGTTCTTCTTTACTTTGAGAGCATGGGAAATCTTCCAACACGGACTGAAAATGCTGTACAAATCTGTGAAGATCATATTTTTCCCTCTGAGATTGGCGTCGTATATTGACGCAAGCTGCTTATATCGGTGTTATCTTTCAAAACCAATCAAATCAATATAGAATATCAATGAGGTTTTACAATTTCTGTGCCCACAGTTCCTGAACGCAACAGCTGGGAATAGCGGCTGCACTGAGCTGTCAGTCATGCTTCCACATGAAGCCCCGCCCCCAAACAAAACAAGACCAAAAGTTTGAAACTGAAATAAAAAGATCTGAAACGGAAAATGATCAACTTGAATCTGAAAAGTAGCTTTGAACTTTTTTTTTCTGCTTGAAAATTATTTTTTAGTTTGAAAATGTTTTCAGTTTCAAATGTATTTTTATTTTGAACAAACTTTATGGCCCCGATTTAGCTCCATACTTAGGAAGACTAAGAAACGCTCGGAGTGATTACCGTATTTTTCGGACTATAAGGCGCACTTAAACTCCTTTAATTTTCTCAAAAATTGACAGTGAGCCTTATAATCAGGTGCGTCTTATGTATTAATTCTGGTTGCGCTTACTGACCTCGAACCGATTTTATGTGGTTATTGTGAATGAGCTGAATAAAGATAATTGTGATAGGAAAGGGAACGATGAGTTTTGTTTCAATGCTGCTGTCACCTGAGTTTGAATCTGTTTTATTTGTTCACTTGTAGAAAGTCCTTTTTATTTTGTCTGTCACTTGAACATCTTTAATTTGACTTATTTTTGATGAATTATTCTTAGAGTAGATTTTAGCTGTAGAGATTAGCTTCTTAGACTAGGTGTTGTTTTTCACTTTGAATTGATTGATGCTGTCGTTTTTTTGTGCGTGTGCACCAAGTTTTCCACGTTTTTCCACAACGCTTCCTTCCAAGCCTCGGTCCGTCTGTCCGTCCTGATATCTGACCTGCTGGAGCCGAGAGCTGAACCAAAACGGCGTCACGTTGCGTTGACGCCAAACCGTTGGTCCCGCGGACACGTTGGCAAAGCTCAAGTAAAGGCTCGTGCTATCACGGTCATCCTAATGCGCTGGCTTGTGATTTATACAGACACCGGAAACTGTAGATATGTAGATATTTTAAAGAAACAATTGTTGTTTTTATGTGCTCACTAGACCCTGGAAGTGCCATTAAAGAAGACTTATACAGCCTTAGTGAGACAGGACGTCTGAATGAATTTGTGCGTTATACGAAATTCTTGCAAAAAAAAACACAAACGGAAACAGTTTTAGCTACGCCTTAACGTTCCTTCTCTAAACAAACTGCCTGATTTCTCACCGGAGTCATTTGTAAATGCTATAAAAATGGCAAGGGGCTCGTTTGAATCCCATCTTGTCAGTCATAATCGGAGTAGGTGAGCGTTCCATCACGTCCGTCTGAAGGCTTCAGTTTGAGGAGTTCTTCTGTTTGTTTAAAATCAACAGTTAATGCTTTTAAGTTTTATATTTCTGCAACCAAAGATGTAGCCGTGTTAGCTTTCAGCTGTCTACAAACAAACTTCTTCATGTTCTGATTGATTCAGAACAAGAAAGGTTGCATCAGTGGTGTGAAAGTGCACCTTTAGATGTTTGGGGAGGAGTTTGTTGTTTTTATTGCTCTAATAATCCATGAGGACGCGTTCATCACAGGATTTTTGTTTTAATGAGTTAAATGAAGTTTCCCTTGGTGTGCGTAAGAGCCTGTCTGAGAGTGACACTTTAAAGCAGTGGTTCTCAAACTTTTTGGGTTCAGGGGGGATACAAGGGCGGTGAGCATGTCCAGAGACAACACACAGAGGCACTGCAGAGCTCAGATAAAATCGGGATTGTTCAATTCTGGCTGGAGTTTGCATGTTCTCTCCGTGGGGTTTTCTCCAGGTACTCCTGTTTCCTCCCACAGACCAAAAACATGCATGTTAGGCTGATTGGTAACTCTGAATTGTCCCTAGGTGTGAGTGAGAGAATGAATGGATGGACTGGAGACCTGTCCAGGGTGTCCCCCGCCTCTCGCAAAGTGATAGCTGGATATGGGCACCAGTGAACCCCGCGCCCAAAAAAGAAAGAAGCGGACAGAGATAATGGATGGATGGATGGATGGATGGATGGATGGATGGATGGTCTCTAATGCGATGAAATTATTTGTGTAACATAAATACTTAAGACCTGTTCTTTAATAGTGTTAATACAATTTTTACACTTTTAAACATGGGGTTATTTTCATTCAAGACACACTTAACTAACAAATTTTTTAATTTCAGCTTCCAAAAATTACAGTTTTGAGAAAACTAAGTATCAAAAAAACATTTTAAAACTTTACATATTCACATAATGAGCATAATAAATGTATCGCCACTTCTTCACATTATTACAGAAAACTGCATAAAACTGAGCAGAATCATAACAGCTATAGTCGGACCAAGTAACTGGGCTTCATTTGTAAACCCATCGATGCTGGAACGCAAATAACTGGCAGGCCGGGGGGGGGGGTCCTCCCCCAGAAAATTTTGAATAAAGTAGATGTGATTTCCTGCATTTTGGTGCATTTTACCAGGTTGTTAAACATCTACTACGTGCTTGTAAAAATAAAATAAAATTTGCAGACCCTCATGCACCAGCTTGCGGACCCCCAGGGGTCCAGGAACCCCAGTTTGAGAACCACTGCTTTAACGGACTCAACACATCCAGAAGCAACAGTGCGGACGCTGACCGTCGAGACGTTTCAACAAACACGAGCTCCTTTTGTAAATATTCTCTCTCTCCTTCCACTGGGACCTGTTCTGTTCTGTTTCGTTCTTCTTGTGTGACTTATTTGGATTTTGGCTCTTGTGTCTGTGTCTGTGTGTGTGTGTGTGTGTGTGTGTGTCTGTGTGTGTGTGTGATTTTATGACCTGTCCAGAAAACACGGTGACTATCAAGCTTTTCCGAGTCAGTGCATCATGAAGGAAGTGTCCAGGTTAATGATGTTCCACGTGCTACCCTCCACTTTTTCACACACGATTTACACGATGTTGAAACTATGAAATGACCCAGTGTTACAGAACAGTGTTTATTTATTTTTGTAAAGCTAAAGCTGAAACGTGGCGAGAAAATGGGATGTTTTGTAAATGAAATGGCCTTTTAGTTGCGTTAAAATGAAATAGCACCAAGACTGATGGTGTATTTTGTAGATATCACAGCGGATTTTAAAGTTAAAGCGATTAATTGCACTTACTGTTTATCCAAGTCGATTTAGAAAACGCTCTTCTCATCCACCCTGACGTCAGGCTGACGGCTTGTTTCATAGTTTCAAATTGTTTTGCTGCTAAAACAGAATTTCCAAACGGGAGGTTTTATGTTGTCCAATCTGGATTTTCACGTTTGCTTGTATTTTGATTTAGAGGATGAAAGTGACACGAATTGTTTGATTCAAAGCCGTAACGATCCGGTGTGTAGGGTGGAGTGGCACCAAGCGGCTCGATTCGCAGACTTTACCCCTCGTCTCCTTGTATGAGATGAGCGAGGAGGCAAAACAAACACAAATGCTTGTTTTTGTCCCATTGGAGCTACTGTAGAAACATGGATCATTGAAATAAAGCTGCTTATTCAGAGGTATTGGCATAAAATAAATCTTGTTTTGACCTTGAACTGGTGAAAACGTTGCATTTCTGCTGAGTTGCCTGAAATGTTACACACCGGAGCATTCGCTTATCGAAAGCCACGAGGCGACACGTTTGAAATCAAGTTTTTGTGACTCCGGGGCGTTGTGAAAATTCACCGGGCGCATCAGACCCCCTGCTTGTGAACAGTTTTCTTATTTATACAACTCATTTTGTACAGTTTTGTTGGAGGAAAGAGGTTTTGATACTTGCTTATTTTGCAAACGCCACTTGGCTGCTTTTGTCTTCCTGTGCCAGAAATGCTAAATCGTCTGTAACTTGTTTTTTCTTCTTCTGTTTTTTTTTTTAATTGATCGATTTTACTTCTGTGTTGGTTTTCTCTTTGGATATGTCAGTTTTATTTTCTTTCTTTTTTTTTTAATAAATGTTTTGTTTTAATGTTTGAGTTGTTTTTATTGTTTATGTCACAAGAATGGAATACCCAGAGTGAAAGGACTGAGCAAGGTCAGGTCCAGAGTTCAGCAAGGGGGGTTAACTCAGAACATGCAGGTTCCTTACTGGTAGATGGTTGGTCAGATGTGTGGTTCCAAAGTCCTGAACACTCATGAGAAGAACCAATGTGCTCAGGAGGGCGAGGAGAGCAGCTGAAGGGTGCACAGATAAGGTTTCCAGAGTTTCACTAGGAGATCCAAATACCCAGGTAGGTCTCAGGAGGTTCACTGGAAAGATCACAGGAGACAGGTAAGTAATCAAAAGGCTTAGAGATACACAAAGGACTAAGAGCACGAACCAAAAGCAGGGTAATGCTCCAACATCGAAGGGGAATCATCAACTGCCTTATACAGTAGTCCCTCGTTACGTCTCGTTCGTTTATCGCGGACTCGCTGTATCGCGATTTTTCAGATTAAGATTGGACAAGACACACAGTTGGCTGATTGATGGATGAGCCGCACGATCGGCATGCAATTTTTATTTAAAATAAATTATTTTAAATGATTTAGCACCTGCTGCACATTTGTGTAGCCCTTTACTACAGGATAAGCTTCCTGCTGCAGCTGATCAGCTGTTCACTGTGCAGAGGAGAAGTGGGCGTGGCCAAGAGCGCTTGCAGGTGGCAAAAAGCAGAGGAGGCAGAAAGCTGAGATCATGACATGCTGTGCTCTTTTAGAGCATTTAGAGTTTAGAAACATTGTTTAGAATATTGCAAGTGTGTGGGAAGATATATATGTGTATATATATATATATATATATATATATATATATATATATATATATAT